AATGACCATTTAAATGCCCTTAAAGTTGGCGAGTTTACTACTTTTGCAGGCAGGGCATTCCACGCCCTTACTACTCTCTGAGTAAAGAACCTACCTCTGACATCTGTCCCGTTTCTATCACCCCTCAATTTAAAGCTATGTCCCCTCGTGCTAGCCATCACCATCCCAGGAAAAAGGCTCCCACTGTCCACCCAATCTAATCCACTGATCATCTTGTATGTCTCTATTAAGTCACCTCTTAACCTTCTTCTAACGAAAACAGCCTCAAGTCCCTCAGCCTTTCCTCATAAGACCTTCCCTCCATACCAGGCAACATCCTGGTAAATCTCCTCTGTACCCTTTCCAATGCTTCCACATCCTTCCTATAATGCGGTGACCAGAACTGTACGCAATACTCCAAGTGCGGCCGCACCAGAGTTTTGTACAGCTGCAACATGACCTCATGGCTCCGAAACTCAATCCCTCTACCAATAAAACCTAACACACCGTACGCCTTCTTAACAACCCCATCAACCTGGGTTGCAACTTTCAGTGATCTCTGCACATGGACACCGAGATCTCTCTGCTCATCCACACCACCAAGAATCTTACCAATAGCCCAGTACTCTGTATTCCAATACATATTCCAATACAGATACTCTGTATCTGCTACCTTTGTCCTTCTAGATGGTAACTGTTATGGGTTTGGAAGGTACTGTCAAAGGAGACTGGGGAAATTTTGGCACTGCAACTTGCAGATGGCGTACACTGCTGCCACTGAGCATCGGTGGTGGAGAGACTGAATGGTTGAGATGTGGTGTCAAATGGGCTACTTCGATTCGGGTGGTGTCAAACTTCTTGAGTGTTGCTGGAGTTGCATTCATCCAGGCCAGTGGAGAGTATTCTGTATCACAGACCAGACTCATGCTTTGCAGACGGATGCTTATTAGGGACATGTTATGACTAGTTCAGTTTAGTTTCTGGTCAACGGTGGGGGTTTCAGCATTGGTGATACCATTGCATGTCAAGGGGTGATGGTTAGATTCTCTCTTGTTAGATTCTTTCATTCCCTGGCACTTCTGTGGTGTGATTGCTACTTGTCACTTGTCAGTCCTAGCCTGTATATTGTCCAGATCTTGTTGCATTTAGGCATGGATTGGTTCAGTAGGAGTAAGTATTGGCAATGGATGCCTTTGAGTCTCCTCCACCTTTCACTAAGATCATGGCTGATCTCAAAACTTTCCATCTAGTTCTATATCCCTTGATGTCCTGTCTTTCCTCTCTTGAAAATGTTTAACGACTAAGCATTTTATAACACTCTGGGGCAGAAATTCCAAACATTATCAATGTTCTGAGCGAGAAAGGTTCTTCTCATCTCTGTATTAAAACAGGAAGTCTTCAGAAAAAGTGTCTTTTAACATCATCCCACTGGAGAAAAGGCTGAATTTCGATGATCATCAAATGATTTGCCAAAAACCACTAGCAACTTGTTGCTTTGGGAATTTCACAAGAAAGTCTGCATTCTCACTAATCTTTAGCAAAAACACATCAAAGCAATCACCATGTTTATTATTCTTCAACTAAGCTTTATTATTTCACCCAAAACAAAAATAAAATAAAGTTATTGAATTGTTTCAATGCAATAGATATGAGTTTGTAAACATAAATTGCATGTTTGTTCATTTCAATATATCCAATTTATGGTTTTCAACAATTGAGATTGTCAATTGAGAAAACAGCTGTTTCAGAAACATTTCCCTTTTGGGTTAGTTGCAGATTCATTAGCTTCTGCACATTTTTTTTCACATTGATGGAATAAACTAACAATATCGTTTATTCAGAGAAACCACAATATTGACAAATATGCCCTTGGACAAGATTCTTGGCCACTGTTGTTTAACTTCAATTAATAATGACAGGACAGAGTTGAAAATATTTGGATAAATGTTTAAGAAGGAAGTTTCACATACCTGCCCTAACCTGAACTTGAAATAAACTAACATAGAAATAGAAGTTAAAAGATCATTACTAATACAAATCCTTTTGTTTTTTCTGATTATTAGGTTAATGCAAGGGTACAGTTCAAATTGTTTAATGCACCATTGCATTATTTGTTGGGATTAATGTTTACTAGTTGAAAACCCTAACTTGATCCAGGCAATAAAACAAAGCATTGTTTAATTCACAGAGGGAAGTCAAATTTAATGAAGTATTGTAGATAAATAAATATTCACCTATTTGGAGATACTGCTTTTTAAATCAATTATGAATGAGACAGCAGGACATCTTGCATATATGATACTCATCACAAGGTAGAAATGCACCTTTTGACTTGGTTGGAGGATAATAATGTTAGATGGCTATTGCCAATTAATGGAACTGACTGAATTAAGCTATCTTACTTGCATTTTCTTTTCCATTTTCTCCAAAAAAGAATATGATATTGCTTCTGTTTTGTTCCATTTTTTGGATACAAAGAGCAGCTGTGTAGCTCAAGACAAGATTATTTAAAACTTAAGGAATTTTTATGATTGAGAATTACACCCCTGTTTTGAGAGAATCAAATCCAACAAGTCAGAAGTATTGCTGAAAAGAAAAGGCCATCTACTGGTAGCCGCAAGCAAACACTGCAAGGCAGATTACTTCACTGTTGGAATAAAACTACAGATGCTGGAAATCATATAAAAAACAAAAAATGCTGGAAGCACTCAGGTCAAGTGCATTCAGTAACACAGTTAACATTTATGCCTGATACCCCTTCATTAGAACTATCTAAGGAAATGCTCTTTTCACCAGGCTCACTCCTCCCTCTTACAACACATCAGTTTAATTTTTAAGTGCCAGTATTTTGTCTTTTTCTGCCTGCCTGGGAGAACTGAGGCTTCCAGCCTATTACTGTAACAGTTGACTTTATGGTTGGCTACCAACAATCTTTAACCTAAGGCTCCAAATTGAAATCCCATAACGATAAGTTAAAGAGAACACCGGTAAAAGCTTTTGTCACTTTATAGTTGTCAAAAGCCTCATTACATCAAAAGGTGACAGTGTGACTTTTTCGACTGCCTTCCATCAGAACAGGTTAGAGTGGAAACCTTACAGAACACTTTTCTCCTATTAGTCCTGGATCGTTTTCTTCATTTTTTTTCAGCATCTCAGGTGATTGCACAGTTGTGGGGGTGGACATGAGTTGACATTTGTGGGTGATGAGAAGAATGTTTAGCCAGCAAGATTAGGCCGTCATGATGTAGGGCAAACCTGACAGATCAGCTGGTATTTTCCTGCCTGGTAATTGTGTGTGCTCACTTGTAGTTTTAAAGTATCTCCTATGGTCAGTATTCTCACATGATCTTAAGATTCACAACAATATTAACTTATTCAATAAAAGCAATGTGCTGTGGATGCTGGAGCTCTGAAATAAAAGCAAAGTATTAGTGAAACTCAATAGATCCGATGGCATTTATGAAGAGAAAAACAAAGTTTAAGTTTGAATCCAATATTACGTTTCTTTGGGACTTCTGAAGAAGTCATACCGGACTCGAAATGTTACGTGTTTCTCTCTTTACAAATGCTGCTGGATCTGCTGAGTTCTTCCAGCACTGTTTTTATCAACTTACTTCAAGTTCACCAAAACACAAGCACTCAGCATTTGAGCATATGCAACATAGTGTTTGCTGTAAAAGCAAGAGAATGCTAATCGATCCATTAATAGGTAGTTTTCTGTTAACTTTACCTAATGCAAACACTATCACTGTGGCGTTTGGCTCATTTGCATGAGAATCTGACTGAAGACTGACTGCATAAGTGTTAAGAAAACCTGTGAATTACATTTGTCTGAATAATACAAAACCAACAACTGCTGCACTAACCCAGCCAGATCTTAGCAACCAATTTGTCTTGAAGCTACTCCATCTCCAACATTTCTCAAAGTGATTCAAGTTAAAGACTATCAGAGGAACCGAAATTAACAACTCAACTGCTGGCACTGTCATCACACGGATAGCATTTATTTCAAAACAATAACCAAAATATTAAAGAGATTACAAAATGGCTGAAAAACTGCTTGGCTCAAAATTAAGCTCTCATTTAAAAAGGTGAGCCAGAAGTAAAACACATCTATAAATTAGTCAAGTCTATCAACGGATCACAGAAACCCAACAAGACGAAGGTTTTGATACAGCAAGAAGGCAGATGGAACAAAAACAAAGGATGAATGGAAATCAAGGGATAAAACACATTTGATTGCAAGATGCTGAGTTCTGGCTGCTTTCTATTTGTCAATGTAGAGATACAGAGTTAAATAGGTTCTTGATTGTTAAGGGGATCAAGGGTTACCAGGAGAAGGCAGGAGATTGGGGTTGGGAAATCTATCGGGCATGATTGAATGGAAGGGCAGACTGGACGAGCCGAATGAAACTTTCTAATTTCATTGTGCTACAGTGTGGACAGACTTGTTGGAACTGTGGAAGGCCAATATGTCAACACAGTTACTTTAATCGACCAGTTCAGACGCGTTTTGGTACACCTCTGGAAACGGTGAGGCTTGATCCTGCACAATCTGGCCCAGAGGTGGGAACACCACCACAATGTCACAAGACACCCTCCCTCAGCTTATAAGCTTTCTTTTTAATCAACCTGTTCAGATGTTTTGTGATACATTTCTGGTGCATGCAGGTCTTGAACCCAGACCTTTTGGCCGAGAGGAAGGATGTTAACACCATGCCACAAGAGCCCTTATCAAAGTGTGTAATTTCCAATCTTAGGTAAATTTAGGCTAAACCATAATGGCCCAAAAAGTGACTGCCCACCACTATTCGGCTAACTACACCCAGTAATTCTCTGTGTCTCATCAATTCTACTAATTATTAAGTGAAGCTTACGAGCAAAGGAAAAGACATGTAAATCAAGCAGCACTGAAAAGGTAATGTCAAATTAGCGTTTTAAGCTCTAGAATTAGTCTGTAGGATGGCTGAAAGAATTTTTGATCAAGTTTTTAAATCCACTTTCTCCCTTCAGACGCATTTCATGTTTCCCTATACACCTACATTAATAGACATTTTAATATATATTACTTACTTTCTCCAGTAGCTGCTCTCGTTCCTCCTCTACTGCTTCATTCCAAATAGTCATATCATTAACACTCCGTTGTGTTACAGTAAGTACTGTGAATCCTGCAACTGGAGCCTCAGGAAACATAGATTGAAAATCTTGAAAAATAACATGAAGACCAAATAAATTCTGTGGCTCAAAATACACAAAATAAAAAATTTCAAGTAATTTCGTTGTACGCACACTTGGTTCTGAGCTGAGTAAATCTGTAACATGGACTACTAGTGGCGAGAAACAATAATTTTCTTCTTCCTGATCTAACAGCTCAATTGAATTCAAACCGCTGCATTTCTGGTTCATGCAAAAAGTTTAGGTACCGCATACACTTTGTTATGTTGTATGATTAGAAATGTTTAACAGTTCTATAATTAGGAAAGTATCAATGGCATAGACTGAAAATAGTCTTCATTCTACTTCTCCATCAAAAAAAAAAGGAAAAACACAAGAGAGAGAAAAGGACATGATGAAATTAGACTGTCAAAAACATATCCTTGTTTGGGTATTCACAATTAAGCATGCTAAATGTTACCATCAAGTTTCACCAGCTTCCAAAACTTGGAAGAGAGCATCAGGACAGCGTGATACTAATATACACACACATGCAACTTCTTTAACTTATTTTAAATTCAAAGGCACATTTACTTTTTAAACTCTAAAGCTTAAATTCTACGCAAAGAAACTTAAACAGACCTTTGCGAAGTAGTTCTGGGCAAGTTTGTATTGCACATTCTACCTTTGCATTCTCAAAATAATTTTCAGCAGTTGTGACTTCCTGTGGTTGAGGCTCAGCTTCATTTCCCTAAAAGAAATGTGACATATAAAGGACAAGTTATTGCAAAATAAAAGCTCATGGATTAGTGGTAATATAGGAATATATGCAATATATTGGCTAGTTAATTCACCTCCTGACTCCCAAAGCCTATCCATCATCTCCAAGTCATAAATCAGGAGTGCGATGGAACACACCCCACTTTCATGGATGGGTAGAACTCCAACAACACAAAAAGCTTGACAGCACCCAGGACAAAGCGACCCACTTGATTAACACCACATCTACTCTTTCCACCATCAATGCTCAACAATGGCAGTGTGTACTATCTACAAAATGGTCTGCAGAAATTCACCAAAGTTCCTCAGACAGCACCTTCCAAATCCATGAGCACTTTGTTTTAGGAGGACAAGGGCAGCAGATGCATGGGAACATCACCACCTTCAAGTTCGCCTCCAATCCCCTTATCATCCTAACTCAGAAATATAGAATAGAAATTTATTGTCATGTGTAGTTTTACATGAAAAATAGACTGAAGAGTTTCATAAGTCGAACCACCATAGTGCCTGCAATGACAGAAGTCATACTTAAAAATAAAAATAAAATTAAGATAAAGTTCATCACAGTTCCTGGACTCGGGGGAAGCTGATTAAGGAATGATGGAATATCCTGAAGATATATTGCCATCCCTCCAGTGTCTCAGGTTCAAAGTTCTGGAATTCCCTCCCTAAAGGCGCCTGGAGCTAACCCACTGCAGGTGGACTGTAGATGTTCAAGAAGGCAGTTCACCACTACCTTCTCAAGGGCAACTAGGGACAGGCAATAAAAGCTGGCCACTCAGTGATACCCCCATCCTGAGTGAATAAAAGAAAATGTTGGTCACCAGTTTCACAAAAGGAACTAAATCTTATGTTAATTGATTGATATACATTGAGCTTTGATCACATTTCATTACAAGTTAGTATGAAACAGAAGACAAACAGGAAGAAATTCAAATTATTAGTCACAGGAGGTTGACAACTTGTTAACATTTACAGCCAATAATTTACTAGAAAATGGTGATGTCTTGCCTGAAATTCGTTGACAAATTGCGCAAGAATGAATTCGTGCTTCTCACTGGTTAATGGCTCAGTTAGCACATCTGGAAGTATTCTGTTTGTTGAAATTCTCTTCTGGTTAGCAATGCCATTAATATGGGAATCAAACCCTATGTTACCCGGCAGCTGAAATCGCTGATCCTGAGGTCCAAATGGTCCCATCTGTTCATCTGGCCATACAGTCTGTAAACCTGGCAATAAAAAGCATGAATGAAAGATATATTTATTTAAACTCAGAGTATTAATTTTCAAAAAGTACACAGAAGTGGGGAGAATAGAAAATAAACAAAAACACTCCAATGTTATTACGAAGAAGTTTCATAACATGGGCTTAATTTTTAATGTTATTAACATTTATTTACAGATCTTTTGTTGGCACTAGTTACTTATTTACATTTATTTATAAAATGTGTATATTAAGTAAATCAGAAGCAAATTGAGAAGGAGATCGTGAAGGGGTTTTGATTGTTGCGTGTGGTGTCTGCGCAGTTGCTGAATAGAATTAATATTTATGTAAATGATTAATACTCACTGACCTGTATTATGCACTCACATGTGAGACAGTTCCACTAAAATCAATGTATATGCCGCAAGTTAGCAATTTGCATTAGACAACATAGATTAACTATCAACTAAGCCAAATATAAAGCAATGACTAGAGTCCATCTGGACTGCTACATTTTGTTTTGATTCCCTGACTGTTGGAAGGCTATGAACTGGTTTTGAAACAGCATAACTTGAATCCCTGAGACTCAGTCATGTTATGTGAAGAAAAGTAACAAACTGTCAGCATATTTTGTTTGGTAAAAATGGACATAGCAAATTACATAATTGAAGTTTAAGACTATGATGGGAATTCTTACGAATTAAGTTCAGAAAATTATTCACGATGATGAAGGGTTCAAACAAAAGGAAACAAATTACAGTGTGAGCTGGGACAGCACAAGCACCTGAAGGGTAAGAGATGCGAAGCAATTACCAGTGAAGTCTACTAAATACATTCCTTCATGCAAAGGGTGGGGAACACGCTGAAAAAATTTAAATGAGTTCAGTGAATAGCCGGATGTATATCTAGAGAAGGAAGGATTTATAGTAAAGCGGGTAGCAGCTACTAACTTCCAAAAAATAAGAAACTTTTCCATTGTTACATGGCTTATTCATTTCTCTATTTCAAAAATCTGGTTCTCACCTGCCACAACCATCTTATCTTTAATAAGTTCAGTTCTTACTGTGTCCCCTTATAATTTAGAATAGAAAGACCCAAAATCATAATATATAGGCATAGCTTGCTTAGCAATGAGTGTTTGTACTTAAAAGAAAACGCAAAAATATCTTAGAAATAGTCTTCCAAATGAGTTTTATCTATCCTGACTTAGTAACACAAATGTTAACAGTGAGGAAAATTAATATTGTTGAAAAAGAGAAATGCTGTCAAGCTTTTTGTCTTGAAAGCATCAGGACAAATGCAAGAATACTAAATTTCAAAGGAACCACAATTTACATTACAAGGGAAAAAGGATGTTGATTTGTTTTTCCAAGCAAGGCAATGCCATGAAGAATTTACCATTACGTTAAGTTTTGTCAAAGCTTTTGTTAAATTCTAAAAAAGCCAAATTGAGCCTGATTGGTTCAGGTGTTGCAATAGGGAATATTTAATAAAAATCAGGAAACTGTCACACAAAACCAAACAACTGTGGATGCTTGAAATCAGGAATTGCAGGAAAAACTCAAGAGGTCAGGCAGCATCCGTGGAGAGAGCGCAGAGTTAATGTTTTCAGGATGAAGAAGAGTCATTGGACTATAAATGTTAACTCTGCTTTCTCTCCACAGATGCTGCCTAACCTCTTGAGAGTTTTTCCAGCAATTTCTGATTTTAAAACTGTTACACAGGTCTAACAATTTAAAAAAAAAACTTGCTTTAAAGTAAGGTTGTGTAGTTATTACTACCAGCAGCACTGCATATGGAAATTGGATGAGTGATTGATAGGTCCAAATCTGTATCCATTGGAGCACACCTGCACAGTCCTACTCGAAAACAAATTACAAAAGTTAGCAAGTTAGACTTGTTTAAGAATAATGAGCTGCCTACTGGTTTACTTGATCGGATCAGTCCTTATGGCTTACCGTGCTGACAGATATATGGATTGCCTGACAGATGTTGGTGATGTCACTTTATGCGCTATCTTATTTATGATTGGTTCTGTAAAATGAATTGGCCAAATGGTTGAATGAGTTGCTCCAATCAATTCTGAGCAAGCTTTCCACAAACATAATGAGTGATAATACAATGTAAAATTTTGTTGTATTTGAAATGTAGTATTCTTTTATCTGTCCTGATGATGGAAAATAAAAGGCTTCAACAGCATGTCTTCTTCTTTTAGCAACAGTCAAGGTTCTATACTACCAAGTGACAAGTGAGGAAAACTGTTCCTACCTTGATCGGGTGGTATAACTGCAACATAAGGCTCATCAGACCCTGAAGAGCCTGCTGTGGAAAATGTCCTAAAGGTTGCAATCCTTCTAATTAATGCATGAACACCTGGCAAGTAGGTCACGAACCTGGCCTTGGTGCACAGTGCCTGTTTGAGTGGGTTGTAAAAGTAAAAGGAGTAAAATAAAATTAAATTGAATATACATAATTTTTCAAACTATAAGTAAATGTTGCACCAGCTAATTGTTACAGCCCAGAATCAACCTAGAGAGGTAAATGCTTCTGTTTAAGAAACAAGTATGCTACATTTGAAGGCAGAAGGGACAATTTTGACCCATGATCCTCTTTGATTTCTTGCCCAAGTCTGGCTGAGGTTTGGACTCTGGATAGTTTGGCAAGTCAATGATGTGCCTCCAGTCTTGTGTATCAGACTGCTCTCCCAAGTGGAACAGGGAAATAGAAGAAAGGAAGGAAAAATAAAAGACAAAGTGGTGCTAACACCTTCACCAAGTCTATTAAATAGGGACTAAGGATGGGAGAAAAATGTAGCACAGTGCTAAATATAGCAATCCACGAGCTAACAAAGAAGGAAAATAGACAGTAGGAAACTGAGATAAAAGATAAGAAAACAAAGCTTTACAATGTCTTTAATAAATGCTTACAAATGGTGAATTACGTGACAAAGTTAATTGCACACAGACTTCCATCGCTGGGACACCGTCTCCAGTTTCTAATGACTTTAAGGATCCAACATAAAACACACTCAGTCAATCTCAAGTTCTTAGTGGGCAGGGATCTACACGAATTGCTTTCAGTTCAGCACTTATGAGCAATTTTGGAGAGGTCCTGTGATAGCATGGAAGGGGTGAATGTTACATTGATGTAATGGGCATACTCTGACGTTGTTTCATCTGACCTTTAACATAAATATTGCGTGTAAAAATGCCATTCCCCAGCTCTAACATCTACCAAAGAAATGTACACAAGATTAACAGAACATAGATATATATTTGCCTCCAATGAAAAGTGGCCCTCCTCTAGCAGTGTAAGTTTAGTATTTATTCATACACTCTTCAGAAACATTAAGACAAGAAAATAATCCAAAATGTACCTTAGCCATTTTGCTCGGGTTCTGCACCCAGCACCTGTCCCGCAGAACAGAAAACAAAATGATCACCAGGAATTTAATTATATTAAAATATTCCACAATTAACTTTGACAATATGGAACAAAGCTTTTAGTTCAGCCACTCAGATTTTCTCTGTTTCACCCTTAATTTTACTCCTAGAAAATGATCAACTACAAACCTAAAAACTTTCAGTATTTAAGTCATCATATACAGTAAATTACCTTGATACATCAAATCCTACTCAAGATATAGCATCAGATTATTTTTGAGACACTGGGACTGGACTCACTGGCTAAAACTATATTATGTGCTACCATAAAGGCAAGGTAAGTAATGTAGTAGCTATACCAAATTTATGTTTTAAGAGGTTAAATGTGGATAAACACAATCTGTCGCGACATAATCTCATAACATCAATTCTACAAAAAAACTGTAATAAATTGTACAAATGGAGAGAATCAGCATTAACTTGCTGCACATCTGAAGATATGAAAAAGTGTACAAAGATTTACTGCTACTTCTTCAGATAAATAGTTAAATATTAATTGAAGTGGCTATTTTACTTTCAGCACTATGTAAACTGTGGGGGTTAGTGACATCAGCTCTGTTTACACTTTAGAAAGCAAGTATCAATTGAAAATGATCTATAAAGAACTCACAATGGATATCTCTGAAGACAATCTACAATTACAATTTACTTTTAACTTCTGGGGAAGCCTTCTTTCTGATCTAAGGAGGAAAACTGTTATTTGTAAGAGAAATACTTTTACAAGATAGTGGTTATATGATAGAGAGCAGTGAGTATTCAAACCATAAGCTTCAGGCAAATTTTTCACAATATATAGTCAAAGGACAACAGGGTTGCTCACCCATTAGGGAACAACTGGTGGTAAGTTTAACCTGGAGGTTATCACACCTCAGATGAGGGGCAAGGTTGAAAATGAGGGACCTTGACAGTGACCTCAGCCAATGTGGGAATTAAACCCGTATTGTTGGCAGTGCTCTGTATTATAAACCAACAATCTAGCCAACTGAGCTAGCTGATCCCCAAAAAGTTCATTTTTTTAAAAATAAGATTACCAGTTTGGAAAAAGAAATAATTCTCTTTGACAAAATATAGACATGTATATTGAAATGAAAAAGAATTACAGTAACTTTTATTAGTTAAGCTTTCTTTCAAACAATTCAAGTTTGGTTTTCACCCATCCCGTCAATACCATTTCTATGCTAGAAAATAAATAATTACAAATTATAAAAATATCCTGTGAGAGCAGGGAAGGGAGAAGAACGATAATCCTGATTTCTGACAGACAAATTTTAAATATGACAGGCCATTTCCCCAGTTGATAGAACAGATACCACCCACTTTTGCCTTCTGAAGGACATGAAAATACTGTTACATCATCACTTTAACGACCAGAAACACAGATTTAAAATAATATCACTGATGACTTTAGGAAAGCAAATGCTTTGTTCAAGTGGCCCAAGTTAGCAGACCCTACTCAGCATTTCAAACTCAAAAGCTATTTCTATCCAGGTTTTGTTTTAGAAAGTCACTTCACAGAATCACAAGTCACTCATCAACTAAAACTTATGGAGATTTTGAAGCCAACATTCCAACTTTTTATTAATACTGTTTACATAACAGGCGATACTCAACCTCAATTTCTCATTAATTTAGATTCAGTGAAGCACTAATGTAACAATACTCTCCAGTTATAGATCTGATCCTTAACACACTATATCTTTCACTAAAAAAAATTGGTTTTGCCCTCCAGCTTCCAACATAGCTGCCAAAAACAAAAGCTGGGGTTAGTTGATCAACAATTCAGGTCAAGTTTAATATAATCAAATATTCAGGTTGAGTGTTCTGTGGGAATTTGGAGATGATGGGAGGGAGCAATCATCTTGGGGACTGGAACTTGAAAGAGTGAAACCATAAGCCCAGTTTTGTTGGATATCTTTCCCTAAACTCTGCATACTATTGACAATTGGAAAATGGCAGCCTTCACTTGGTCCACTGTTGTTAGAAATAATGCTTAATGTCATGAAACTGGTGATTAAATAATGATCCTGGTCTTTTGTGCAATAACTCAAACTGCCATTACCCCCTTCTTCAGGTTCAGCAACATGCCCAACAGGTCAGGAACAAGAATCTCCCTCCTACAGGAAAGATGTTGTGAAACTAGAAAGGATTCAGGAAAAATTCACAAGGATGTTGCTGGGGTTGGAGGGTGTGAGCTACAGGGAGAAGCTGAATAGGCTGGGGCTATTTTCCCTGCAGCGTCAGCGGCCGAGGGGTGATCTTACAGTGGATTATAAAATCATGAGGGGCATGGATAGGTTAAATAGACAAGGTCTTTTCCCCAAGGTGGGAGAGTCCAAAGCTAGAGGGCATAAGTTTAAGGTGAGAGGAGAAAGATATAAAAGGGACCTAAGGGGCAACTTTTTCATGGAGAGGGTGCTGCGTGTATGGAACGAGCTACCAGAGTACGTGGTGGAGGTTGGTACAATTACAATATTTAAAAGGCACCTGGATGGGTATACGAACAGGAAAGATTTAGAGGGATATGGCCCAAATGCTGGCAAATGGGATCAGGTTTATATAGGATAACTGGTTGACATGGATGAGTTGGACCGAAGGTTCTGTTTCTGTGCTGTATATTTTTATGACTCTATAACACTATTAAAATCTCAAAATGTTCATGACACATATCACTGGTACTGTCATACACAAAGAAATGCACGTCTGTAATAACGAACAGGACAACCCTGGAGTAAACAAAGTCAATAGAGCTAACTTCACAAACTGATGTCAGTGGAAAACTATTCTTCAAACACACCACACAACTATTCTTCACACAAACACCTTTCGTCAGCATGGATGAGTTGAACTGAAGGGTCTGTTCCCATGCTGTACATCTCTCTGACTCTGTGGAGTGACCACGGTGCAAAATTCACTATAATTTCTCCAGTTCAAAACACTAGCCTGTTGCAAACAGCCTGAAAAATACTCTCCAACTTTGCCAACATCCAATGTCACCCCCATACCAACAGAAGTGGCTTCAAAATCTTAACTATTCTGTTGAAATAATTCCCATGGTAGAATGCAACCAAAGTCGCAGAAGTGGTGACTCAAATCCCAATGACACCGGAATGTGGTCATTGGTCTGTTGGCCTTTTTACTCCAAAACAGAAGTTGCTGGAAAAGCTCACCAGGTCTGGCAGCATCTGTGAAGAGACACCAGAGTTAACTTTACCGGTCCAGCAACCTTTACTTAGGCCTCTTTATCCTGGCTGCCAAGAAGAGCATCTCCAAGGTTGCCAGGAAGAATGGACAAAACAGACACAGAACCTGCTCCAGCAGAACAATCAGTGAGACAACTACATAGGCTGTGAAACAATCATTTAGCAATAACACTAAGCGTGAGAGCCATCATTTGCAATGAACAATCCTTCTGCGATGAAGGCACTACAATCACACTAGATTTTAAAAATAGAGATTAGCCTCAATGATAACCGAGCATCTCTTCAGCACTTCTCTATCAAGTCAACTGGTGAAACTAGTACAAAAGTACCATGGAATCCAGATGCATCTCAAAAATATTTGGATTGTGATTGTCATTGCCAAACGGAAACCAGGCAAGTTGATCAACTTCTTGAGAAGCTACAGACTGAAATCACTCCTGCATATGTGCAAACACCTGCCGTGTACACACACTCTATGAAGAATCGGTATTGTTGTTGAGTCAGTCATCCCAAAAAAAAGTAAGTGGTAGGAAGACAGACTAGGTTAGTAGCTGGGGAACAGATTTTGGAGAAACCACCAAAAACAATGGTTTCAGCCTTCCCAACACACAGAACGAAAGTTTCTGCTCTGGGTGGGAGCTTGATGAGTGATTAGTTACAGGAAGGTACCTTCAGTTTACGTGTGCAAACCGACTATGAGCCTTCGCATGATCGACGGGGTTGGGGGGAAAGAACAGGGGTGAGGAACGGGACGCACAGAGACCAAGGATCTATAGAGTGGCGATGGCCATTCGGCCCATCGTGCCTCGCTACTCCTGAAGTAAGAAGCTAGTTCGGGCACGGAGGGTTTATAACATTTGAGTGTTGAAATTATGGTACATCCTCCACCAAGGAGTTTTAACCAGATAAGTACGAGAGAGACCTACAGATCCAACCTGGCTCGGGCCTGCTCAACAGCTGCCGGGCTCCACTCACATATAGACCTTTATTTTCTGATAGTGAACCTCACGATGCGGGGCCGGGGCGAGGCGGAAGACAATGCTGCCTCCTCTAGCTCAAACTCACAGGAAGGTGGTCACGTTCACCTTCTCTGCTCCTTCTCCTTCTCCGAAAGTGTCTCACCGCCTCCAGCCAACGAGCCAAAACGCACGTACGCATGCGTGTGACGTCATCGCGCCCCCCCACCGTCACCCGTAAACATGGCGCTCCATAGCAACGGGACCTGACGTGAGCAATCCAGGCCTTATTCTGGTAGTCCATCCTGCCATCACGAAGGTTCTCTCAGGTATTTACATTCTTTGAACAAATAGGATAAACTATTCATTCCCTGTCCCGTCTGTAAAACGAAATCTGGCGCCAGATAGAAACCGAACATTGATTTCACACCCCTCCCCCATAACGCGACGCTGTCGTCAGGCTCGTTTCCTGAATTTCGCTGCAATTGGCTGTTTCTGAGGACACCGCAGTTGAAGCGGCTACGCGATTGGCTGGGCCCGCTTCCTGCCCTCTCTCCATTCCCCGAGCCATGGCGGAGGGGGAGACGCACCGTCTTGTTCATCAGCAGCTGCGGGATGTCATCGTCGAGCAGCAGCGGAAGATTTGTGCTTTCGAGGAGCTGGTGAGCAGTGGCCCTCAGTTCGGGTGGCTGGCTGTGTGGAAGGCACGGCCAGCGCGAAACCTCCAAGATCTGGTGCCAGGCGGAAAGACCATAAAATATAGGAGCAGAAATAGGCCATTTAGCCCATCGAGTCTGCTCCACCGTTCAATGAAATCGTGGTTGATCTGATCATCCTCAATTTCGCTTTCCTGTATAAACCATTATTCATTTCCAACCTGTCTATCTTAGGCTCAAATACACCGAAAAACCCATAAGACCGTAAGCTATAGAAGCAGAATTATTGGATTCAGCCCTTTGCGTGGCCTGCACCACTCGATCACCATTGATATGTCTCTCAATCCCATTCTCCTGCGTTCTCTCCTTTTAACCTGGCCTCAACAGCCCTCTTTGGGAATGAACTCCATAGATTCACTATCCTTTGACAGGGGATATAGGAACAAGGGATGGGCTATTTGCCGGCTCAAGCATGCTCTGCCTTTCAATAGGATCATGACTGAACCAACTTTCCTGCTTTTCCCTATAACCCTTGATTCCCCTATTAACAATCTATCGATTTCAGCCTTAAATATACACAGGTGTCTGTCCCCACAGCTGTCTGTGGCAAGGCGTTCTAAAGACTCTCAACCTTTTGAGGGAAGAAGTTCCTCCTTATTTTCAGTCTTAATTTGGTATCCCTTAATTCTGAGACCATATCCTCTGGTCATAGATGCTCCAGTAGTGGGAATTATCCTCTCAGGACGTATCCTGTCAAGCACCGAACATAACTCTATTTGTTTCACAGAGATCACCTCTCATTTTTCTAAACTCCAGTGAATAGAGTGTCAACAGATTAGTAGGGTAGTTATAGTTAAGAAGGCGTATAGGACACTTGCCTTTATCAGTCGTGACACAGATTATAAAAGGAGGGAGGTTGTTGTGTTTGGTTGGCTCGCCGAGCTGGTTTGTTGTTCCGCAGATGTTTCATTACCTTGCTGGGTAACATCATCAGTGCAGCCTCCGCTGAAGCGTCGGTGTGTTTTCCTGCTTGGTTTTTAAACTCTGGAGTCCGTTGAGCTGGATTGCCTCACTTCCGGTTTTCCTTCGTTGTGGAGTGTATATAAGGTTGAGGGAAACAATGACAGCACTACTGGAACAAGAGGAAGACCCCAGTGAAACCATCTCCACAGACAATATGCTCAAACTACTGGACCTATGCCTCACCACTTTCAATGGCCAAACATACGAACAAATCAACGGGACACCCATGGGATCACCTATCTCCGGATTCATAGCAGAGGCAGTGATGCAAAGACTAGAAAGGATGGCGCTTCCGCTAATCCAGCCAAAACTATGAATATGCTACGTGGACGACACCTTTGTCATCATTAAACGGACCAAACTAGAGCAGATACACAAACTTATAAACAACACCCTCACCGGAATAAAATTCACCAGAGAGGAGGAGAAGAACAAACAGCTCCCATTCCTGGACGTCATGGTAGAGTGCAAGACAAATGGGGAACTCCAAACGAAAGTACACAGAAAAGCCACACACACAGACCAGGTACTGAACTTCAACAGTAACCATCCCAACACACACAAACAAAGCTGTGTGCAAACACTATTTAAATAGGCAACAGCACACTGCAGCAAAACAGAACTACGCCAAGTGGAAGAAGAATACCTCTTCCAGGTTTTCAAGGTAACGGATTCCAAAAAACTGGGTCAGAAGATGCCTACACGAACAACATCAGGAAGATACTACACGCCCCGACACACTTACCACACTACCCTATATCAGGAACACATCGGAACTAACCACAAGACTCCTACGACTGCTGGGCATCAGAGTGGCACACAAGCCCACGTCAACCCTACGACAACTGCTCACCCGAACTAAAGACCCATTCCACACCATGGAAAGGACCAATGTCATCTATAAGATCTCCTGCAGAGACTGTGAGAAACACCACATCGGACAAACAGGAAGGAAACTAACAACGAGGGTACACGAATACCAGCTGGCTACAAAAAGACATGACCAATACTCACTCATCTCAATCCACATGGATAAGGAGAACCACCAGTTCGACTGGGACAACACCAAAATCCTGGGACAAGCTAAGCAGAGACAGGCATGGGAATTCCTAGAAGCCTGGTACTCCATGAAGAAAGCCATCAATAAACACTTAGAACGCGACCCCATATACACTCCACTACGAAGGAAAAACAGAAGTGAGGCTATCCAGCTCAACAGACTCCAGAGTTTAAAAACCAGGTGGGAAAACACACCGATGCTTCATTGGAGACAGCACTGATGATGTTACCCAGCAGGGTACCGAAACATCTGCGGAACAACAAACCAGCTCGGCAAGACAACCAACCGCAACACTCACAACCCAAGCCACAAATCTACTCCAAAACCTTGGAGGAGATTGTGTTGGATCTGTACAGAACTTTGGTACAGTGCTGGACTATTGTTTGCAGTTCTGGTCACAAGAACAGAAGAACTAGGAGCAGGAGTAGGCCGTCTGGCCCTTCGAGCCTGCTCCGCCATTCAATAAGATCATGGCTGATCCTTTCGTGGACTCAGACCCACTTACCCGCGTTCTCACCGTATCCCTTAATTCCTTTATTGTTCAAAAAAAAACTACCTTTTTTTTAAAAGCGTTTACTGAAGTAGCGTCAACTACTTCACTGGGCAAGGAATTCCACAGATTAACAACCCTCTGGGTGAAGAAATTCCTTCTCAGTTCAGTCCTAAATCTGCTCCCTCTAATCTTGAGGCTAATCCCTCTTGTCCTAGCTTCACCTGCTAGTGGAAACATCCTCTCTACTTCTATCTTATCTATTCCCTTCATAATTTTATATGTTTCTATAAGATCCCCTCTCAATCTTCTGAATTCCAATGAATATAATCCCAATCTACTCAGTCTCTCCTCATAAGCCAACCCCCTCAACTCTGGAATCAACCTAGTGAACCTCCTTTGCACCCCCTCCAGTGCCAGTACATCCTTTCTCAAGTAAGGAGACCAAAACTGCACACAGTACTCTAGGTGTGGCCTCACCAGCACCTTGTACAGCTGCAACATAACCTCTCTGCTTTTTATTTCAATCCCTTTAGCAATGAAAGACAAAATTCCATTTGCCTTCCTAATTACTTGTTGTACCTGCAGACCTACCTTCTGTGATTCGTGCACAAGGACACCCAGGTCCCTCTGCATAGCAGCATGCTGCAACTTTTTACCATTCATGTAATAATCCTTTTTACTATTACTCCTACCAAAATGTATGACTTCACATTTATTTACATTGTATCCTATCTGCCAGACCTTTGCCCACTCACTCACACTGAAAGAAGGATGTGATTAAACTGGAGGTGGTGAAGAGGTGATTCACCAGGATATTGTCTGTGATGAAGTGCTTTAGCTATGAAGAGAGGCTGGATAAGATTAAGTTATTTTCTATTGAGCAGAGATGACTGAGAGGGAACCTGATTGAAGTGTATAAGATTATGAGGGCCATGGACAGGGTGGATAGAAAGCAGCTGTTCCTCTTAGTTGAAGGGTCAATTACAAGGGAGCTTAATTGTAAGGTGAAAGGCAGAAGGTTTAAAGGGGAATTGAGGAAAAATCTTTTCAGCCAGAGCGTTGTAGGAATCTGGAATGCTCTGCCTAGAAGGGTAATTGAGGCAGGAACCGTCAGCAACTTTACAAAGTACTTGGGTGAGCACTTGAAATGTCATAACATTCAAAACTATAGGCCAAGTGCTGGGAAGCGGGACTAGTGTAGCATTAGAGTCATTTTTATCGGTCATAGACTCGATGGGCCAAAGGGTCTCTACTGAACTATAATTCTATAAGTCACCCAAGAATCTTGTATGTTTCATTAAGATCACCTCTCGGTTTTCTAAATTCCAATGTGTACAGGCCCAGTCTGCTCAACCTGTTATACGACAGTCCCTCCATACCTAGCATCAGTCAAGTGAATCTTCTGTTGATTGCCTTCTATGGACTCTGGTGAATCGTCAGCCAGCACCTTTTCTAATTTATGCATCCCACCTTATTCTTCAGTAGCATTTCAAAATCCACCTTCTTTCATATCAACTACTATGAACATCTCAAACATCACAGAGCAGTTCAATATTTGGATGATCATTTGAAGCACCCCATATCATACAAGGCCAAGTGGCGTAAAATCAGACTACAGTAGATAGGTGCTTGATGAGTGGTGTGGGCACGATGGGCAGAGGCCCCTCTTTCCATGCTGTAAATCTCTGTCATTATGAAGCAACGGTTGATGCTTAGCCGCATAAAGCGATATTAGGGTGCAAATGACTCACTAATTTCCTCAGGGAAGGAAATCTGTCATCTTTACCTGGTCTGGCCTACATGCCCCTCCGGAGCCACAGCAATGTGATTGACTCCTAACTGCACTCTGAAATGGCCTAACAGGCCTCTCAGTTGTATCAATCGCTATGAAGTCTGAAGAAAGAAATAAAACCGTTTGGACAACCTGGCATCTATCTAGACAATGGCAGGAACAGCCTGGTCAACCCTGCAAAGTATCCTTTATTAGCATCTGGGGGCTAGTACCAAAATTGAGGGAGCTATCGCACAGGCTAGTCAAGCAACAGTCTGACATAATCAGACAATGTCCCAGACACTACCGTCAGCATCCCTGGATGTGCCCTTCCCATCAGCCGGACAGACCCAACAGAGGGGGTGGCACAGTGATATACGGATTTGTCCCCTGAACTCATTAGCATTGACTCCTGACCCCATGAAGTCTCATAACCAAATACTCGCCTCCTTTGGCTGATTATTCAGTACTCCCTCATTTTGAAAAACACTTGGAGGAAGCAAGGCCACAAAATGCCCTCTGGGTGGAGGATTTCACTGTCCACGACCAAGAGTGGCTTGGCAGCAACACAACTGATTGAGCTGATCAGATCCTTAAGGACAGAGCTGCTAGACTGGGTCTGCAGCAGGTGGTGAGGGAACCAACAAGAGGGAAAAACATACTTGACCTCATTCTTACCAATCTGCCAGCTAATGATGTATCCGTCCATGACAGTATCGGAAAGAGCGACCTCTACACAGTCTTTGTGGAGACAAAGTCCCACCTTCACACTGAGAATACCCTCCATCTTTCTCTGTATTTTTTCTGCAGCTATCACACTGTATTCTTCATTCTGTCCTATTGCTCTGATGTACTTATGTAAAGTGTGGTTTTTCTGGATAGTGCGCAAAACAATACTTTTCACTGTATCTCGATACATGTGACAATAATAAATAAATCAAATCAAATCAAATCACCGCGCTAAATAGGACAGACTTCAAATAGATCTAGGAACTCAAGACTGGGCATCCTGCAGTGGGCCATCAACAGCAGCAAGATGGTAAGGGTAATTAAACGAACAACTCTACTTCCTACATGGATGCCTCAGAAACCAGGTGTTACCACGCAGTGTGAAATACAAACCACCCATCAACAACCCACAAGCCCGCAAAACAGCAGAACAAAACAGATGGTAAGGATAATTAAAAACAAACCAGCTCAGCGAGCCAACCAACCACAGCAGCAGAATTGTATTGCAGTACAATCTGCAACCTCATGGCCTGGCATATCCCTCACTCAACCATTACCATCAAGCCGAGATCAATCCTGGTTCAATGGAGAGAGGAGGAGGGTATACCAGGAGCAGCACCAAGCATACCTAAAAATGAGGTGTCAATCTGGTGAAGCTACCAAACATGACTACCTACGTGCCAAACTGCATAAGGAGCAAATGACAGACAAAGCTAAGCAACCCCACAACCAATGGATCAGGTCTAAGCTCTGCATTCCTACCACATCCAGTCATGAATGGTGATGGACATTTAAGTAGCTCACTTGAGGAGCAGTCTCCACAAATATCCCATCCTCAATAATGGAAGAGCCCAACATATCAATGCAAAACATAAGATTGAAGCATTTGTAGCAATCTTGATTGATGGATTGATCTTCATCCAGAAGTACCAAGTGAATGATCCATTTCAGCATCCTCCAGTGGTCCTGACTATTACAGATACCAGTCTACAGCCAATTCCATTCACTACACATTACATCAAAAAACGGTTGGAGGCACTGGATACTACAAAGGCTATGGGCCCTGACAACATTCCTGCAATAGTACTGAAGAAGTGCTTCAGAATTTGACACTCCCTCAGCCAATCTATGATCTGCCTGTACTAAGTGCAAAACTAAATTTTTCATTTTGCCTAGGTACATGTAGCAATAGTAAATCAAATTAAATTTTAAAAAAATGCAGGCATCTACCTGACGATGTGGAGAATTGTCCTGTGTACAAAAAGCAGGACAAAATCAACGCGGCCAATTACCGCCCCATCAGTCTACTCTCGATCTTCAGTAAAGTGATGGAAAGTGTCATCAACTGTGCAATCAAGCAGCACCTGCTCAGCAATAACCTGCTCAGTGACACCCAGTTTGGCTACTGCCAGAGCCTCTCAGCTCCTGATCTCATTACAGCCTTCGTTCAAACATGGACAAAAGAGCTGAATTCCAGATGTCAGGTGAGGTGAACATGACAGGTCTTGACATCAAGGCTGGATTTGACTGAGTGTGGCATCAAGGATCCTAAGCAAAACTGGAATAAATGGGTATAATGTAGTTATATCTGGCACATAGGAAGATGATTGTGATTCTTG